TTTATATCTCTGTTTCTACCAGTAGATGTGAGGACAGGTGTTAATTTTATCTAGCTTGATCTTGTCAGAATCCATCAGAGTATGCAGTCTTAAGGAAAGAAGAGGGGGTTTGTGTAATTACACTAGGGAATTCCATAGGAATTCCTATATTTAAAAGTAATAAATGCGATGGAGAACATCACAAGAAAGCTGGTTTAGACTCCTCTTTTTCTCTCTTTTTTTTTTAATGTTTATCTGTTTGTTTATTTTTGGCTGCGTTGGGTCTTCATTGCTGTGCATGGGCTTTCTCTAGTTGGGGCAAGCGGGGGCTACTCTTTGTTGAGGCATGAGGGCTGCTAATTGTGGTGGCTTCTCTTGTTGCGGAGCACAGGCTCTACGGTCACGGGCTTCAGTAGTTGTGGCTTGTGGGCTCAGTAATTGTGGCGCACGGGCTTAGTTGCTCCGCAGCATGTGGGATCCTCCCGGACTGGGGATCGAACCTGTGTCCCTTGCATTTGCAGGCAGAGGCTTAACCACTGTGCCACCACTCTTGGTTCTGATCTGAGGCTGCTGCTAAGTCAGAATTTTGAAGGTGATTGTTCTCGGTCTTTACCCGTGGGCCTCTGTTCTTTTAGCTATTACCGAAGTCCCATCTTTTAAAACTAATGACCCAGTATGAAATTTCAGAACTGCTAAAATTGATTTGTCTATTTACTTACCTGTATTAAATGTGAAATAAAATTGCAATTGTGTGGAAAATCCCCTAGCACCAATGAAAATTGCGATTCTGCATTTGCTGAGAAATATCTTTATTTGCCCTCTGGGACATCTTAAACTTTAGTTGGCTTCTATTAAACTTTTATGAGAACAAAAGGAGTGAATGACTTTTTCTTCAAACAGGTACTTTTTGTTGTTTCAGTGAAAGAATGCACTCTTGAAACAGAACTTGTTCCTTTAAACAAATTACTCAGTGTGCCTTACAAAGAAAAAAAAAAAAAGAAAAGGGTGGGGGACAGGTTTGAGTAGATACTACCACCACTACAAAACTGCAGAATATTAAAATTTGCTTATAATTATGTTTTTATTCTCCCTTTGTCTACATATTGCCTCAGATATCTCCAAGGGGCCTAACATGCTTTCACTATAAATTCATATCTTTATGCAAAGCATTAGTCTCCCTTCTCTGTCCTATTTTAGAATGCGAATGCTCCTGGGAGCAGTGATTAAGGAGGGCTTTTGCTAAAGGGTCCTGGAGTGAGGTGCTGCCAGGGGGAATGCAGAACTACGATCCCGAAGGCTGTCACTCTGCCACTTCATAGCTCTACCTTTGTTCACCCTTGTGTTTTTACTTGAAATAAAACCACCTGCCTAAAGCCCAGAAAAGAAAAGAAGAGAAAAAAAAAAAAAAGTATTCCTCATTAAGATCCATGAAGTGAAGTCTCAAGTTGAACAATCAGTTGGCTTGTAACTTAATAATCCATGGTGTTCCTATGTCTTCCCATCCCCCAGTCACTAAAGCACACACTTGGGGTTGCAGTAGGTTGATATATGGTCCCCCATAGATAGCCACATCCTAATTCCCAGAGCCCATGAACACATCACCTTACATTGCAGATGTGAATAAGGTCAAGATCTTTGGATGGGAAGATGATCCTGGATTATACGGGGTGGGGGGGCAGTGTCATCACAAAGGTCTTATAAGAAAGTGGCAGGAGGCTGAGAGAGGAAATAAAATATTGCACTGATGGCTTTAAAGATGGAAGGAGGGAACGTCTAGAAGTTGGAAAAGACTACTACCACTAATAATAATAATTCTTCCCAAGTGTCTCCAGAAGGAATTCAGCCCTGTGGACCCATTTTAGAGCTCTGACCTCCAGAACTGTGAGATAGTAAATTTATGCACCAGACCCTTCTAGCCATTCTCCATGCTACAACCAGACCCATCCGGTGAAAACACAAATGGATTTATAGAAAGCCCTATGTAGAAAATCTTTAATTTCTTTGTATTACCATTAAAAAGAAACCAAATGTCATCTGTGAAGTGCCCTGCCCTGCATGATGTGGTGGTCCCTGTTTTTCCACCTTTATTAGAGGACAGTGGTGATTTTTGAGTCAGAATGTCTGAGTTTGGCTTCAGCTTGTACCACTTACTACCTTTGTGACCTTGGACAAATTAACCTCTCTACGCTTCAGTTTCCTCTTTGGTAAAATACCTCATTGGCTGTTTGTGAGGATTAATGTGTTAATACAATGCCTGGCCCTGTTCTAAGCACAATACAGATAGATAAACTTATCTTTATTGTGAGTATTCACGCATGTCATTGGTCACAGTAGACACTAAACAAACATTTGATGGATGGATGGATGAAAGGAAGAAAGAAAACAGTGTTACATTCATAACTGCTATACATACACCATTACTTCTCTCTAGTTTGCAGAAATGAATCAGTTTCAGAGGAACACAACCAAAACTTAGATGAGTGCAGAGACAACTAGACATTTGGGACCCAAATTTTGGCCACTTAGATATACAGAGTAGAATCAAAGATCTGATTTCCTGTGAAGAAAGATGGAAGCTGTCCACTCTTGAGAGAATCTTTAACCAGCACTGAACGTATATCGCAACAAGCATTAGTGAGTTTTCAAACGAGCATTGATAACTGTTAAGACCTGAAGTTGGTATATATAATAAATATTGATACGTGTTTCTAAACTGTTCTTATCTCAATTTATTGACATTTCTTTTTAATAATACATTGCCTTCTAACTGCAGAATCATACTCATGGCTGTGATGTTTCCAGTGTATAGATACCTACCGAACCCTAAAAGTCCTGTCTGTTCATAATGTTTACTTTTGGGTATATAGTATACAAAGAGAAAACTTCCTTTAGGATTTCAGTGTGGTAAATGTCAGCTTCTTGGCAGGTAATGTTTATGTTCCTTAGGATGGGTCTGTATTAAGAGATAATAGTAAACATCCTGTGTGGAGGACAGAGGACTTCTCTAGAGCTATGGTTAGCTTCACTACACTGGGGAGGAGCGTTGAGGGGGGCATTTTATCTACAGATTTCTTCCCCCTTTAGTTGAACACCATCAAAGTTCTTCATTCTCCTTTTATATGGCGGTGCTTTAAAAATTGAATCCATTTGAATAAGCATTCCTTGAGAGCCTTTAAAAATATATTTTTAAAAAACTTCATGTTCTAGGTGTTTTTTTTGCTAATATATAGAAAGACAATATTTTGTTCAGGTTTATTAAGGTATAACTTACATACAGGAAAGTTGACCCTTTTTCGTGTACCTTTCTGTTTTGACAAAGACACACAGTCATGTGATTGCCACGATTATCAACATATAGAGCCATTCCATCGCCCCCCAAAATCCTCTCCTGCCCCTTTGTAGTACACCCCTCCCTCTGTCTTCAGTCCTTGGCAACAACTGATCTGTTTTCTGCCTCTATAGTTTTGCCTTTTCCAGGATGTCATATAAGTAGAATCATTCTGAGTGTAGCCTCCTGAGTCTGGCTTTTTCGCTTGGAGTTTTAGGCATAGTAAAGGGCTATTCAGATTTAAAAGTTTGATCCTGTTTCAGTTTTGATAAGTTGTATTTTTCAAAGAATTTGTCCATTTCATCTATAATATCAAACCGGTTGGCATACAGTTGTCCGTAGTGTCTCCTATTATCCTGTTAATGTCCATATGTCTTCAGTGATGGGCTCTTCTTTTTTTTTTTTTTTTTTTTTTTTACTTGTGAGCGTGGTTCTTTTTTTAAAAAAATTTAATTAATTATTTTTGTCTGTGTTGGGTCTTCATTGTTGTGTGTGGGCTTTCTCTAGTTGCGGCGAGTGGGGGCTACTCTTCATTGCCGTGTGCGGGCTTCTCGTTGCGGTGGCTTGTTTTATTGCAGAGCATGGGGTCTCGGCACGCGGGTTCACTAGTTGTGGCTCGCGGGCTCTAGAGCGCAGGCTCCGCAGTTGTGGCGCATGGGCTTAGTTGCTCTACGGCATGTGGGCATATGGGATCTTACCAGACCAGGGCTCAAACCCACATTTCCTGCATTGGCAGGCGGATTCTTAACCGCTGTGCCACCAGGGAAGTCCCCATTGATGGTCTCTTTTACATTAAATGCTCTCTGTATTTTTTTTCTTGGCCATCTTAGCTAGGAGACATATATATATATGTATTTTCATTACTGTGTTGAGGAGTTGGATTGAATCAATGCTTTGTCTCTGAGTGGCAACTTGGAAGGGTAGTCATATGTGCCTCAAAATGGGACGCTTAACCCCTCTGAAGATAAGAGGTCTCATCAAGGGAAGCCACAGAAATACCACAGCATATGAATTTTTCTAGGACAGTTTTAGGGACATTAAAGTTAAAGCAAAAAGACTACACTTACAATATTAAAACGACATTACACGATGCAGATTTTACTTATTTTTTAGGTTACTGGAAAACTTCTTGGAAGTTTCCCAGGTTAAGAATTTAGGGCTGTCCTCCCACTCTTTGGCCACTTTCTTCATTCTTCTCTGCTCTCCGAAAAACTGAAAGCACTGAATCAAATCCAAGTTCTTCACTCTACAGATGCACAAGTCTCCAGACCGTGAAAGCCAACGGTTACAAAACTCAGATGGGAAAATTAAAATATGCCCAATAATTTCAACGGACCGGAGGCTTTTAATTTAAAACTAATGTCTCTCGAACCCTCTGCCTAGGTCTTGTCTAGGTACGTGTATTTTTAAAAATGTGTTCTTACTCCTGGGCAGAGATAAGGTATAGAATAGTAACATGAGTCAAGTGCGAACCGGGGAGCAGGCAACAATAACAAGTTCACATTTACTGAGCACTTCCTCTTTACTAGGGAATAACGTGTGACATTTAAGCCTGGCAAGCCCCATTTTCCTCATTTTACAAAGGAAGCCGGGGTCACTCGACCAAGGTCACACAGGTATGCAGTGCAGATGGGCGCCTAACTACCTCAGGGCCAGAGAGAGGCCCGGTGAGATGTAATTAAAACAAATGTACGGACCCTGGTCCTTCGGGTCGCCCCAGGAGCGACCACTGGCTGCGCAACCCTGGGAGGAGCTGGGGAACCGCGCTCCAGCGAACGGCTTCCGCGGGGAGGTGGGAGGGCCGGGGAGAGCCTGCGCGGGCCCCGCCCACGCCCTGCTGCGACTTCCCATTCGCCGTTGACCGGCGCGTGTCACTGACGTCCCCTCGCCTGCCGCCGGGAAGTGCGCGCGGCGATGACGGCGCAGCGGGGCCGGTGAGCGGGCGCGCGGGGTATCTGCGGGTGCGCGCCGCTGGGAGGGGGAGCGGCGGCGACGACGCGAGCTGCCTGCGGGCTCTCGCGCGCGCCGGGTCTTGGGGAAGGCGGGTGCCGGGGGCGGTGAGAGGCCTCTTCCGCACTAGGGAACGGAGCCCGACGTGGAGGTCGCGGGGCCGCGTGTCCGCCATGTCTCGCTGACCGCGGGCTGCTTCATCGGGCTTCCCCCGGGCTCTTTCCTTTCCTCCAGGCCCGGCCTCTCAGGCTCTCCCA